GTTTCTCGCATTAAGTTTCACAAGACTTTGCGTTGGCCAGCCAGAATTCACAAAGAGATGAACAAACAGTCCTTGCTTTTGTGCAAAACGTTAAGGAACAATTTGCCGCCTAGCTTGATGGCTGATCACGCCGTCCATACAAATGAACAACTTGCAGATTGACACTGTTAACGAAAGCTCAACTCAGCACTTTACCAATATTCTCGAGTCCTTGTCGTTGCTGTTAGTGGTTTACAACAATGTACCTTGTGCATGCAAACAAGGCAGCTTGTGCATGCAAACAAGGCAGCTTGTGCATGCAAACAAGGCAGCTTGTGCATGCAAGCAAGGCAGCTTGTGCATGCAAACAAGGCAGCTTTGCATGCAAACAAGGCAGCTTTGCATGCAAACAAGGCAGCTTTGCATGCAAACAAGGCAGCTTTGCATGAAAACAAGGCAGCTTTGCATGCAAACAAGGCAGCTTTGCATGCAAGCAAGGCAGCTTTGCATGCAAACCAGGCAGCTTTGCATGCAAACAAGGCAGCTTTGCATGCAAACAAGGCAGCTTTGCATGCAAACAAGGCAGTTTTGCATGCATGCATCTATCTAGAGCATTCAGAAAAGGTGCAGCTGCCTCCACCCCCTGCTGCACTCCCTACGCACTGGTCCCATAGCCGGCATGTAGGCTTCCAGAAGCGAGTAATACTCTTGGGAGATTTGCACAATGCAGTCGAAGGCAGCAACTTGAACAGCACTAGGGTTTGTTGCGTCGCCGGCCTCCACGACAGAATTAATGATGTAGTCCCGTTCTTCCTGAGCAGGAAAAAAGGAAACAGTCGCAAAATGCCGCGAAGTTGAATTTTTCAAAAAGTTTATTTTTTTCAAAAAGTTGAACAAGTTGAATTTTTTTCAAAAAGTTGAATTTTTCAAAAAGTTGAAATTTCCAAACAACTCCGCTTTCCCCCAGACCTTGCATGCACCCGAAACCTTTGCTTCTGCAGCAACCCCCAGCAATCTGGCTGCAGTCGCTGCACGATTTTCCGTGCAAAAGTGTTTTCAAAAATATCTGAAGTGGAAAGCACTTTTTTGTTGAAGTTTCCTTTTGCGAAAACCAGTGCGTGGTACAAAGCACGCAACGCCGCCACCTTCAGCTGCGGATCGGGATCCTTGAGTCCTGAATGGAAAAAGAAAGCGAAAAGAAAAGACTTTTGGCGCAACTTGGAGCACTTTTGGCCAAATAATGTAAATAAATAATGCAAATAAAAGGGCAATTAAACCCAAAACAACTGCAGCAACTAAAATAAAAGTGGGACCGGCCAGTGGCGAAACGAGAGGCGAGTGACCCCGCAGTCCCAGGTGTCGTGACACCCCAGCGAAGACACCCACCAAGCAAAACTGCTGTCAACACCACATTGCATCTTTGTTCAGAAAAAACTTCCGAAGGATCTTCTCCTTCGGAGACAATGTCTGCAAGTTCTTCGCAAAGATAGGCCAGGCAGGTGAGGGCGTGGCGGCCGCAGGCCTTCAGCAGCTGCTGCTGCTGCTGCTGCTGCTGCTGGCAAGAAACTGCCTGCTGCACCATTTCCTGCAGCGCGGGCAGCAGCCCTTCGAACTCCATCGAGCGAAGTTCAATGACTCCCAACTTGGCCAAAACTTGGCAAACTGCATTGCCAACCTGAGGCGCAAAGTTCGAACTTTGCACTTAGTTTTTTCTTTTTTCTAAAACCAAAAGTTCAACTTCTAAAACCATCTTTTGCTGCTGAGGCCCCTCAGACGCAGCGCAGTCTGCTGCTTCGAACCCCCGCGCTGCAGCAGCAGCAGCGTCTGGTGAAGCGCAGCACAGTCTGCCGCTTCGAACCCCCGCGCTGCAGCAGCAGCAGCAGCAGCAGCAGCAGCAGAAAGCCAACTGCAGCACAAGTGCAGCAGCTGCTGCTGGCCTCCAACTCAGCGAAAGCCACAGCCCACCTGAATGCAGTCTGTGTGCAAAGCTGCCAGCAGCTGCTTCTTAATGTCAGCTTTCGTTTCATTCGGCAGCGCCCTCCAAGCTTCCGCAGCAGCACCATCGAGGGTCAGATCCTGCAAAAATAAAAAAGTGTTTGAATTCCATTTCCAGTTCCACTTCCGCGCCTCTCTTGGGGTGTACAGACACCTGGGAGCTGCACCGGCGGCTTGCGGACTCCGTTCCACAACGGGAACTGTGATCAGGGAAAAGTGGAACGAATGCAAAAGCCAGAGAGAACTGAAAACAATTATATATTCGCAGAGAAACTAATTTCTGGAAATTCAATTTCCAAACTTTTCAAGTTCAAAGTTTCTGCAAGATCGGATTCCACGTGCTGCTGCGTGCAGGCGTTTCGCCGCCGTTTTCGCATTTTCGCACTTCCGCAAGTGCGCAAAAGATGAAACTTTTCACGAAACTGATTTTAATTAATTAATTCTCGGTTTGCAGACTGCCGGAGTGTCTGTACACCGAGTCTGGCGAGGCTTTCGTCGAGGATCGCGTCCTCGGCGTGCAACTCGCCGGGGTGTCTGTACACCGCGTGCGCAGCAGCCTGCGGCTGCTCCCGGGAAGAAAAAAACTGACCTTGGCACTAATGGAGTTTTTGAAAGTAACTGCAGCAATTTGCTTCGCAATGAGGAGGTCTTCGGGGCTTCCGGGGGCCCCCTGGGGCCCCGGGAGGGGCTGATCGAGGGCTATCAGCGCAGCCATTGAGCCCACGAACTGCCCCAAGTCCGTTTGTCTTGCTGCTGTTAGCTGCTGCTCTGCTGCTTGGCGCACAGAAGGCCTGGGGTCCAGCGTGGCCAGCAGCAGCTGCTGCAGCACCGCCATTTGTTCCGCCATTTTGCTTCGGAGCCGCAGCAGCAGCTGTGGGCAAAGAGGAGGCCCCTCCGGGCTGCTGCTGCGCCGCTGCTGCTCCTGGCGCCGTGTCTGCTGCTGCTGCTGGTGCTGCTGCTGCTGCTGCTGCTGCAGCAGGGCCACCGCAGCCTTTCAGCGCTGTGCCTGGCGAGGGGGAAATCCAAGTCTAGGGCTTCATGCGGAGGACCCCAGAAGCACTCCGTGCGGCTTCGCCGCTGCTGCTGAGCAGCAGCAGCAGCAGCAGCAGCGGGAGCCGCTGCTGAGCTTCTCGGGATTCAGCAGCTGCTGCTGCTGCTCCCCCAGGGTGCTGCTGCTGCGTTCTCTGCTGCTCACGGGGGGCAGCAAGGCGAGGAGGGCCAGCAAGCGGGGCAGGCAGCGCCTGCTGCTGTTGCTGCTGCAGTTGTTGCTGCTGCTTGCGAGCCCGGAGTGCAGAAAGAGCAGCGGCAGTGGGCAGCAGCAGCAGCAGCAGCAGCAGCCCCGCGATGAGGCCACCCGGAGCAGCAGCTGCTGCAGCTGCTGCAGCAACGGCACCAGCTCAAGAACCGCGCAGCCAACTCAGCAGCTGGCGTGACAAAGCAGTCCTCTTTGCCTCTGCAGAAATATTTGCGCGCAGCAAATTAACTCGGCCAGTCAGCCGCTATTGCTGCTGCTTCTGCTGCTGCTGCTGCCCCAGACCCGAGGCTTCATAGACACGGGAGAGTCACTCTAAGAGGCCCTGGCTGTGACAAACTAAATTCAATTGCCTTTCCGCGCCCTTTGAGCCACTCTTGCTGCATCTGCTGCAGTTCAGCCTGGTGCGCCCTAATCATAGCAGCTGCTGCAGCGGCTGCAGCAGCTGCTGCGGCCGCTGCTGCTCTGTACCCAACAGCAGCCGCAGCAGCAACGCCGCTGCTGCTGCTGCAGCACAACCCCTCGCTCCAAGCCCTCTATATATTCTTTAAAAGATGAAATACCCTTTTTATAATGCGGGGGGAAAACTGAGAAAGGCCGCTCTTGTTCTTATTTCCCGAAGCATACACCCCGCCCCACATGCCCCCCCGTGTCTATGCACGAGCCCCCGCAGCCCTCATTGCGGAGGCCAGCTGAGCGGCCTTCGCCTCAAATTTAGTTTTATTTTTTCCAAAATTTAAAATAAAAACAATTCCTTTTTTGCAGACTGCCGCTGGCCTCGCGTGCGGCCTCCAGGGCTGCAGCAGCTCGAGCGCTAGCCTGTGCAGCTCTTGTTGCAAGACAGCACGCAGCTCCAGATCTTGGGGCCTGGAGTCTTTTCTCTTTCTGAGATTCTCCTGAAGTTCAACTTCAGTGAAATTCTTCTTTTTTGAGGCTTCAGTGTTTACCTGGCTGCGGCTGCGGCCTCGCGCCGGAGCTCTCTGCAGCAATTTGCATCAGCCAGCAGCAGACCGCGCGCGGGCTGCTGCTGCTGCAGCAGCTGCTGCAGCGTTTTTGACCAAGTTTGGCCCGGAGCTGTGAGGCTTCACTTCTAAAAAAGGCCTCAGATATTCTTCTGAAGCTTTGAAACTTTTCCTGAGGCTGTTGACTCTGCATGCGCGAGGCGCTGGGGGCTCTGGGCTGTTGCTGCTCGCTGCAGATAAAAATATAGTTTTGCAAACAAGCTTTTAGGGAAAGATTGACAAACTGTGGCAGCCAGAGCCAGTCTAGAAGACTTCAACTTCTCCTGGACTTGTATCAAAGTCCGATTCAGCCTTCTGCCTCACCCCTTTGCGTAAAATTGCACTAAGTGCTACAGTACTGAGGCACAAGGCACTAAGAAGTTGTTTGCTGTGGAGTCTATGGACTTCAACGGAAACTAAAGCTTCTAAAGGATGTTCATGTTTGCACTTTTCTGCATTGGAAAGCTCCTGTGCACATTCAGATTAGTTGCAAAAGCCTTCCAAATTGCAAAACTGTGTTAGTGCAGAACACTGGAACGGTGAAATGAAACTTCTTACGGGAAGCATAGCATTCAACATTAAGTGGAAACCACTTTGAGTTCACATCTAAATTGAGAATGAAAAGGATCTTGAGAAGATTATGATAATTAGACGGAAATGCAAAATCCACAATTGGAATCCTGGGTCACAAAGCACACTGTGGAAGGCCTGCACAGCCGCAGCAGTCACTTCCGTTTATCAAAGATCTTCAAACTTTCTAATTTAAAATATTTAATTCCATCAAATGCCTTGGCAGCATGAAGACTGTGTGGCGGTTTTAGCTTCTAAGTAGCAAACATTCTTACAAAGTGCGTATGAGGTAATGTAGCAGTGATGGACGCAAAGAAGTTAACACCTCCGGATAATGCGGAACACAAAATGTTTCAATCTAAGTCCACAAATATCCTTAAGGGATTCTGAAAAACGAAGATCTCAAGCAGAGTTAGCCGCAAACATGCACTGACACGGAACAGCAAAATATTGCTTGGCGCGGGACAAACGCAGGTGATCGAACCACGGAGCCGCGAGACATACAATGAATAAACAAAATAATAAATAAGAACATAATAAGGATTGATAGGAGAAGAGAGGCTGTTCGAAACTGAAGAGGAATGGAAATCGAGAGAATGTCTCAGAATGAAGAAGCCTGTGACCCGCGTTTTCAACTTTTGTGCCTTTGTCCAACTCAGTGCAAGTTTTAAATCCTTTGTCGAACTCAGTGCAAGTTTTAAGTCCTTTATTGTTAGACCAGAAAAGGCTGCAGTTGGTGAAGTTTGTCCAGCCCTTTTCACACTCGAAGCCCCGTAGACCCCTGGCTGATATTCTACAGCCCTACACCATTAATTAATGCTCCCAAGACCTATTAATTAACTGCTTTATAATTAGAATAAGCTTGAGTTGAATTAAATGAATAAAATCCCGGGAGCTGGCGAGGCCTGCACTGACACGGGAAAGCAGGCTGCTCTAACCCCCAAGTTGCACAGCAGCAACAGCCTTCTGATATTCCTCTTTGGAATTTCTTGCATGAGCAACTCCATTAAAGCGTCAGAAACCTTTCTGTGACTCTGCTGCTGTTCTAAAACCATCACAGATGGGTTTTCTTTGACCACATGGTGCGTTACTTTGAGGAAACATTCCTAATAGTTTGCCCTAGTGCCCATACAACATCGAAAGTGTTTCAACTTCTTAGCCCGCAGTCCTTGGCTAAACTTCAGCTATTTTTCATTTTCTCAAGACAAAGAAGCCATGACAATTTAGATTTAATTGTTGGACTTCTTGTCGCTGCTGGAAGACCACTGGTCCACATGTCTTTCAGCATCTTTTGCAAGATCACATTTCACTTCAGAAAGGAAACAGCCACAGCTGCACAACCTTAAGCCCTTTCTGGCCGCTCCATTCGCTGCCAAATTCCCCGACCTTTCCATATCTGGCGGCAATTTTCGCCTAGGCAGAAATGTGTTAACAGTTCAGCAGCTTTTTTCAAGTTTTCGATTTTTCTGAGCACTAGACATTCTTTGTTACTAGCCCATTGCCATCACCTTGCCCCATCACTGCCAGCAAATACCCTTATTACCCTCTCTGGCATTTTTTGAATCTTTTTGTTGCTGGCTGGTGAGGCTCCACTGCAGGCTCAGCAGCCAGGCTGCTGCTTTCCGGGGCAGCAGCAGCAGCTTTCTCGGCCAGGGGGGCCTCGAATGCGTGTCTCAGAGCAAGTTCTTTGTTTGGGAATGCATGCAATTGCTAAGAAGTTTGAATATAGCTGCGATCTGCATGCAGCACTTAGCCCGCATGCAGGTCGCCTTCACCTGCAGCGCCGCTGCTAGCTGCCAGCCCCAAACTGGAGCCCCGCAGCAAATCCCCGCAGGCCTGGCCTAACTCCAGGCCATTACTTTGCGCACACATCAGCGCTGCTTTTTGTTGCGGGGGGCTCTGCTGAGCTTGCTGGGGCCCCCAAGATCGGCTGCGGGCTGCGCTGCAGGTTGCACACTGCAGCACGGCGGGCAAGAGCTGCTTACGCCGCGATTCACAGGCTCTGCTGAGGCCTTAGAGGTCATTAAAACTTCATTCGAATAGTTGAAGTGACACAGATGTACTGGAATCCCCAGGCCGTGGCTGCAGCTGCAGCTGCAGCTGCAGCTCGCTGCTTCCTGTCTTGCAGCGCGCCGCAGCACCGCCGCGCTGCTGCTGCACGAACCCCCCGCTGCAGGGGAGCTGTTTCTAACGGTGTCTAGTTGCAATTATAGCATCAAAATAGGCCATAGTGTCACAGTCTCTGCAATAAAGAAGAATCTGCAGTTAAAACGCGGCTGCTGGAAGCCCCCAGCAGCCCGTAGTTGAACGGCGCGGTGGCGGGCTGCGCGCAGCGCCTCACGGGGCAGAAACACCACTTTTCTGAGGATCCGCGCCACTGAAAAGGACCTAAAATGGAATTAAAAAGGGAATTTCAGAAAAAGATTTTGTCCTTTGGGGTGAGCGAAAAGTCAGCGCGCGCACGGCAGCCGTGGCTGCGGTGGGCACAGCTGAGAGGCGGCGTCGGGGCGCTCGGGCGCGAAAGCTCGGCTGGACTTCTCTCGCCACTCCTTTCCGCGAGAAATTGATTTTGTTTTTGAATTGCAAAGAAAGATTGGGCGCTGGAAGCAGCAGAAAGCGCAGAAGCAGCAGCCAGGCAGCAGCTCGAGCGGGCGGCGCAGCAGCACAGATCCGCAGCCGAGTTGCTGTTGCGAGCGCCTGGCTGTGTCCGTGGAGATACAGCTCGCGAATTCTTTTTAATTTCCTTTAAATGGATTTTGTGGCAGCTTTTATTGTTGCTTTTTGAGCATTTCGTGCAAACTCGGGAGCCCCGCTGCGCCGGCGACTCCGGACTCGCTCACTCTGTCTTGTCAGCAGTTGCTGTTTGCTTCGGAGTCCGCGGCCTCGAGGATGCAGCGCTGCTGCAGCATTTTGCTTTTGCTGCTGCTGCTGGGAGTCCTTTCTTGCTGCAGCTTTGCTGCTGCAGTGACTCACTACAAAGTGGCGGAGGACGGCACGGTGGCGGTGGCGGTGGAGCAGCAGCGCGGCGCTGCTGCTGCTGCTGGCAGCAGCAGCAGCAGCAGCGACGCAGCGCTTCTCGGGCAGCACTTAACCATTGAAATCCCCGGAAATAAAGGTTTGCTGCGGCTGCTGCTCGGCTGCACTTTGCTGCTGGCCTTCTACGCCTATGCTGCAGCAAAAGTCTACCCCAAGTTCGCCTCCACTTACCAAAAGCTCGTCATGAAGGCCGAGGACTTCGGCGACGCCGTCTTCGGCGTCGAGCCCAAGACCAAGCTCCAGCACATCCTCGACCGGTCAGTCCGGGGCCCCACACTTCTGCTGCTGCTGCTGCTGCTGCTGCTGCTGCTGCTGCTGCTGCTGCTGCTGCTGCTGCTGCTGCGACCAGCAGCGGCGCCTGCGCCGCAAACCGCTGCTGCTGCTGCCGCTGCTGCTGCTGCTGCTGCTGTTGCTGCTGCTGCTGCGCCCAACGGCCCTTGCACCCACCACAACTGCTGCTGCTGCTGCTGCTGCTGCTGCTGCTGCTGCTGCTGCTGCTGCATGCAGGCTCGAGAGGTACGGAGAAGACAACCCGGTGGAGCTCCTCAGCCTTATGGGTATTTTTGCATTGGGCCTCTCTTTGCTCCTCAGTGGAGTTCGCGCAATGAAGCGCGGCAAAAAAATCCGACTTGTGGGAGTCTAAGCCATTTCAGGGGCCCCTGGGGGCCCCTGGGGGCCCCCGGGGGCCTCTGGGGGCCCCCGGGGGCCCCGGAGGGCCTCTGGGGGCCCCCGGGGGCCCCCGGGGGCCCGCGGAGGCATTTGGGGGCCCCCGGGGGCCCCTGGGGGCCCCCCGCAGGGCTCCGGGGGCCCCCGGGGGCCCCCGGGGCCCCTGTGGGGCCCATAAGACCCCCAGCGCTTGAGCAGCTACTGGGAAGGGGTTTTTCTTTTAGGGGGCCCCTAAGGGCTGGCAAGGCCCCCCTGGGGGGCCCCCGGGGGCCCCTGGAGGCCCCCAGAATTGCATTTTGCGACCGTCTCGTGTTTGAGGACCCTAGGGGCCCCCCAGGGGTCAAGGGGCCCCTTAGGGGTCAAGGGGCCCCCAGGGGTCAAGGGGCCCCCAGGGGTCAAGGGGCCCCCCAGGGGTCAAGGGGCCCCCCCGGGGCCCCCGTGTCTGACCTCTTGTGCATTTAATTTGCTTCTTTTGCTGCTGAGCGGCGAAGGCAAGGAGAAGGCGTTGCTGAACCCTCAGGGTCTTCGTGGGGGCCCCGGGGGGGCCCCCAGGGGCCCGGGGGCCCCCCAGGGGGGCCCCCTGGGAGGCCCCTGGGGGGCCCCTGGGGGGCCCCTGGGGGGCCCCCTGGGGGCCCCCTGGGGGCCCCCGGGACAGTTAAGGTATCGGCAGCGCGAAATAAAGTTTAGTGGTTTGTTTTGAGTGGCTGCGGCGGCTTTGCTGCAGCAGCAAAATTGTGGAAGCGTTCTTCATGTGCTTTGTTTAGATAAGAGCTGCGCGTTGCTGCTGCTGCTGCTGCAGCAGCAGCAGCAGCAGCAGCAGCAGCAGCCGGAGCCTTTGAGGTGCGCTGCACTGCTCGGTGGCTTGTCTGCTCGTTTGAATTGTTTGCTGCTGAGGGCCGCTGGCAGCTGCAGCCGCTGCTGCAGCAGCAGCTGCAGCTGCTGCTGCAGCAGCAGCAGCAGCAGCAGCGGCTGCAGCAGCAAATTCCTGGAGGCACTTTCGAAATGAAATGCCCTCCAACTTGCGCGGTAATTCTTTTTCTTCTTGGCTCAGTTGGGAGTCTTTGCAGCTTTTTATTTAAATTTGTTTTGCAGCTTTTTATTTAAATTAATTTTGCAGCTTTTTAAATTAATTTTTCAGCTTTTTATTTTAAATTAAATTTGCAGTTTATTCCATTTAGAAAGTATTCTTCAAGTGGCGGCTTTGGGGGCTGTTAGCTGGTGGCGGGGCGAACTCATATGGCCAGCTAGTCGCTAATTTAGGGTTTAGGGTTTGACCTGCTGCAGCTGCTGCAGCCGCTGCAGCAGCAGGAAGGGGTGGAACTAAGTCCGAATTAGACTTTGCAATAAATGAAATGAACTTTCACTTTTGGCTTTTGCCTTTTTCGTTTTCTTTCGTCTCTGGTGTCTGTACGTACACACCAGCACAGGCTCCCGAGGCTGCGCCGCGGACTACGCAAACCCTAAACCCTAAACCCTAAACCCTAAGCCCTAAGCCCTAAACCCTAAACCCTGAGCAGGTAAAGCCCGAGAATTAGTGTTTAATGCTCTTTTTTGTTCTTGTTGCAGCTTATTTATCCGCAGCTTCCCATCGTTTGTGTTGCCAGCCAAACTCGAAAGCTCTGTCGAACTGGGAAGACACCAGTGCTTAGTTGCTGCAGCAGCTCTGCTGCTGCTGCGGATGAACATTTCAAATGAAATTTAAATTAAATGTTTTCTTTTTTGCGGAATATTTTAACGCGTGTCGTGTTTTGAGCTGTCTAGACACCGCAGCTAGGCCGAAACCTGTTGGGCGCCCTTGCGAGGATCAGATTTCGGAAACTTGAACTGACGGGAAAGCACTCTAAAAAAACGCACAAACGCCCCATTTAATACTTCAATAATTAGAAACTTGAAATTAATTTACATTTTGCTTTTATTCTGCGCATTTCCGGACAATATTACCCGAGATCGCAGCAAAAACATGCCAGCATGGGGGCCCCCCTTCCTGCAGCACAGCAGCAGGGGGCCCCCAGTCGGCGCTGCCTCGCGGCAAAGAGTTGAGCCCAAGGAGTTCTTTGAGCTTCTTAACTTTT